ATTTGCCTTGATGATGTGGTTGTAGTATATAACCCGGTATTTAAAATTTCAAATGAGATAATAAAATCTGAATGTACACTGAAGTCTATGTAGTGTTACATACATGGTATTGCTATTTGAATGAAATTTCTGCAAATGGATGTGAGGCACATTTAAGATAATTGGCTTTGGTTTCCATTTGTTAGGTTGTTCCGACAGCCAGTCTCCCCCATTTATTTTTTTATCTTTTTTTGTGATAAATTTTTTTCAGGATCATGTTAGTATTAGTGAATTCGTTATAACCAGATGTCTTGCTTGGTGGGTCTGTGTATCCATTTAATGATAATTGTGGCATTGAGGATTTAACTATATAAATTTACTTGATTAAACATTTTCAAATCAGGGTATAACAAGAGACTCGTTCCCCCTCATTCCCCCTACATAATGTTCCCGGTGTCTGGCAGGGGAATGAAACTCTAATAGAATTTAAATAGACCTCATAGGGCTGTGGGTTGAGTAGCAAAGAAAGAAGCAGCAGGATGTAGGTGGTGGCCTCAGATTCTCTGGGTTCTGTATCTGGCCAAACTCTGCATCTGGTATTTCCCCGGAAATGTGGTGCCAATGTCATACAATGCCACATCTGTTTTCAACAAATGTTTAAGCACCAAGTTCTTAAATTTCTGGCATGGAAACCTGGCATCCAGTATTTCCAAAAATAGGTTTGAGATTTCAGCAAATTTGGGGTTAACAAACCCTTCTTTAATTTTCCCGGTTAGGAATCAAACTTTTATTTTGCTCTTCCGCTATGTAGTTTCAAAATGTAGTTTGAACCAGGTTCTGTTGCTACAAATTCATACCAATAACCCATTTCAGCATCTTGGCAAATACTTACCATTCATTCTAAACCGAGTATATACACTATAGAATCATTGGTGTGAATAATTTCAGTCCTTATAAATAAAATGGAGATACTTTTATTGAAGACAGATTCTGGGTTTAGAACTCATAAATGAAAGAATTGTCTGTTTGTATTAGACCCTTCAGTTATGTGGCACTCAATTTTTACAACCGTGCTGTAGAAGGTAGATATTACTGTGTTTTTATAAATGAGGAAGCTGAGGTCTAGATAAAGTAAATAACTTGGTAGTAGTCGGACAGCCAGTAAATGGCTTAGCCAGGATTCTCCCCCAGGTCTGACTCCCAGTGCCGACAAGGTGCTGACCACCCTTGCAGGTTGTCCAAATCTGTTCGCCAAGCAGTGCCATTGTTACGGTAGTGCTGATGGAGGGATTCATGCTTTCTGAGATCCCACATTCTGTGATAGCAAGTTAAATGTAAGATATTGTTTAGAATCTGTTTTTAGCTTTTTGCTTTCTATAGTAATATTCTACCTGCTGAATTTTCATGCTCCTGTTTTTTTCTATCCAGCTTATAGCGTTTTAAGTGTCGAAAAGTGTGGCTTGTCGCTGACATGTGCCTATTTTTCAAAATGAGACTATTACAATCAGATTGTAGTTAAAGGGTAATTTATTTTTTAACATTTGCCTTCCACCCCATTTTTATTTTTTTCCACCCCATTTTAAAAAATTTATATATGCTTGCTAGTTATCTTAAATATGTGTTTTCTTGTAATTAACTTTTTCATAGATAATATGTTCACTTGGTTTCAAATCCAAGAGGTAGAAACTAACAAGAATAAATAACAGTAGCTAACTAGGTCTGTGTAGCACTCATTGCCTGCCTGGTGTTCTTCTAAGCACATTTAATGGGTTGATTTAATCCTCCCCACCCTGAAGAAGTGTCGGTACTACTGTTCTCCCCATCCTGCAAATGAGTGAACTGAAGCCAGAGAGGTGTACCTGATCAAGCTGGTCTGGGTTTTGTCAATGATCTGGTCAAGTTTCACTTCCTTTGGAAAGTCTCCTAGTAGCCTAAACGATTTCAAATGATTTTTGTATAATCACTGCATGACTTTTCTTGTGCTCTACAGAAAGCAGAAGGAATTGTTGATATCCTGATATTTAAATATTGCCGACTCATCCTGTGTAGATTCTGCCGCTGGTTCTGCTGTCTGATTCAGTTTTTCTCAACATTGGCTGCATATGGGAATCACGGGGTTGTAGTTTTGCTTTTTAACTGGAGATTCTTAAACTCTGCTTTCCACTTCAGGGGATAAGAATCTCAGGGTCGGAGGGAGCATTGAGGAATTAGATATATTCTTAGTATGTTCCTAAATACAGTCTGAAAACGTGGCTTAATGTCACCACAAATATTTTTAATAAGAAACACAGTTGTTTCATATTTAAAAGCTCTCAAGAGCACGGACATTTATTTTGTTCCTCTGCTGTACATGTTACAGTCCATTTGTACCAATGAATTCAGTAGATACTCTAATTACTCAAAACCATATGGCCATGGCCAGCCACTGATAAATGGGTTACAGTTTTCTTCCAGGCTAAAAAAAATCATTTTTGCCTTGCTCAAAAGAAATTTGGGGTCTAGAGCCCACCCTCACTTATTTTTTCACAGAAATTGCAGCTTTATATGTAGACATTTCACAACTTGCTTGTAGAAATGAGGGGCCACCACTTCAGGCCGGAGCCTGGATAAGGCTCATCAGTATCCATAAAACATTGTTACTCTTGCCATTTGCTAGTCTGATGGATTGAGTAGGTATCTCTGTCCTTCCTAACACACAGTATCTGCAAGCCGGGAGCTCATCAGAGAATATAACTTGGCATAGAAGGTAACAGTGCATATCCAGCTCTTGTCAGGTCTCCATTATGGAGAACTGTTGGAAGGACATGCAGTCTGTCTAGAGTTACTACTGTATCAAGTCGGGCCATCAGATAGCTGTTTTTGAAATATCCTACCTTGCCTGACATACGGTAGCTACACTTGTGGTGAGCATAGCACAATTTATAGGATTGTGGAATCACTGTTTGCACACTCAAAACTAATGTTACATTGTGAACTACAACTAAAAAAAAAAAAAAAAACAAAAACCATGAAAACAACACAAGAAAACCCCCTGCTTTATTTCTTCATTTATAAAAGAGCTTGAGTTTCCAGTCACTTGCTTTGGAAGTTTCTCCAACAATTGTTATCCAGCAAGAACACTGATATGGACAATTGAGAATTTTTTTTTTTAATTGTAGTAAGTAAGTACAACACTGAACCTATTTGATTCTCCTTGTCCATATAGATCACATTAAGTATTGATTTATAGATGAGTTTGCCATACGAATTGGAAGTATATTACGTTTTTCTAATTATTTTGCAACACTTAGCATGTTGGTGCATCTTCTCTTTTATATTATTGACTCTCAGTTTCTGGCTTGTTTCTCCTAACATAACAAGCTATTTGTACTTTCATAGGAAAAAAAATCAAATTGATGATACATTTTATAAATGCGTCATTTCCTTATTCTAACTTAACATCTTATGTTAAAAATATGAAGAGAGACTTTTCTGCAATTTATGAATGAAAACTCTGGATACTTTTACAAGTGGGGGAGATTTGTTACTATTTTATTTCACTTAATTTATTAGGAATGCTTTAGTATCAAATGACAAAAACCCAAAGGATCGCTTAAATAGATAGGGGTTTGTTTTAACAAATCTCTTGGTGTAGGCAGCAGAGAGCTGATGCCACCAGGGAACAAGGTTCTTCCTATCTTTTTTTTCTCATTCTGGCATCCTTAGGTACAAGAATTTGTTCTCAGGCTTTTCATTTCGAGGATTCTAACAGCTTCTGTGCTCCTAGATGTTATTTCCTAAGAAGATGGAATGGCGAGGGGTTAAAGTCTTTCTTCTTCCAAGATTTATTCCCTCCCCCCAACTCCCACCTCAGGAATTTTTTATATTTTATTGACCAAAACTAAGACATATGACCCCTTCTAGCTTGCAAGGGAGATGGGAAAATAGTACTTTTACTTTTAGCCTGTTGAGAGAAGGCCTGTGAACTTTCACAGTCTCTGCCAGAAGTATTCTTATTGAAAATGGACCAATATTTTTTGTAGCCTGTCTTTAGTATGGCTACTTTTTCTAGTCAATTTGAATTTCGGAATTCAGAGCACATTTAATCTGAACCTGTTTACATGGATAAATTAATCTTTTGAAGTAGAGAATAACTATATTTTTAAAGTGTTGAGATTATTTGATAAATCAAATTCCCAAACCCTTATGATTAGATAACAGTATTTCAAACTTTAATGCTTTTAGAAGGTAGACCTTGTAGCCTTTTGTACAGTTTCTAATTTTGGTGGGACAAACTGAACAGAGGGGCTATAGGTATTGAACAAATGGCACTTTTCATACCAAAATTGCATTAAAAGAGCTTAAGAATTTAATTGAAGGAATAGGAAAGTAATAAAATATTGGGAATGAAATAAAATTATAAAATAAGTAATGCTTTTGTTTGAGAGTAAATGAGAAAAATGTGACAGAGCAGAGGTCACATCACAGAGTAAAACAAAGAATAATCAGCTTGGGTTTCAGTCACTTTCTGCCACATACAGCTAGCTGCACTTTCTAAGTGACTTTCATCTCTTTGGGCCTCAGTTTCCCCTACTTTTTATAAGTAGTAATTATAGCAGCCTCACAAGTGTCATTTCACCCCCCTGCTTAGAAATTGCTAGGCACATGCCAAGGGCTAGTTAACTCTTAGTTTCCTTTACTGAATAGATAAGGATGAAAAAGTGCCTAACTTAGAAAAGCAAGCATGTACTGTTCACAGTCTGTGTCCTAGTCAACTTAACATTTCATGTGAAAGAAGTCTGTACTTGATCAGTAGCCCGGCTGTCCAGCTTGCAATGGCACTGGGTTAGCATGGATCGGAATGCCTACCTAAAATAAGAAAACCACTGTCAATCCATTTTTAATGACTTATTTAATTCTACATGTATATGTGTAGTAAAATTTAGTAGGATATAATGGATTTTAAAGAATATAATTGTACTTGCAAAATCCATATTTTTGTTTCTTTATAATGTTGTTACATATTTTTTTCTCCCAACTAGGATTTTAAGAGTGGACTTGGTATTACCATAATTCCTATGAATGTAGCAAATGTAAAGCAAGTGGACCGAACTGTAAAACAGTCTTTTGAAATAATCACTCCCTACAGGAGTTTTAGGTAAGCTATATTTAAACTTTTGTGTTTGTGTTATTCCAAGAAAGCTTGGGCGATCTACTTTTACATTGCTAGTGGTGGTTTTATTTCTTATAGGTCACATAATAAAATCATGTTCATTGTTTTCTATATTATCTAATTTATTAACTGGTATGTAGAAACACCTCATGAAAGTGACTTGAATTATCACACAACCTGCAAAGTTACTAACTAATTTCATGAGATTTGGGACGTTTCTTTTTTTAATACCTTTTTTTCTTAGTATGCTTGATAAATATATTAATTTTTTATCAAGTATATGAAAAATTCCTTCACATTTTGAAGGAATGAGAATAGTACATTGTCTTTAAGCTGTATTTTTATTTACCTTCTTTTAGCCTACCCAGAGGTAGTCTTCCTTTAAAATCAATTCCTGATTACAGTTGCTCCATAATGATTTCCTAAAAGGAGCTCCTGGTTGAAATAATGCTGATGGATCTCATGGTACTTATTGATCAAATATTTTAACAGTTTATTATATGTTTTGTGTTATGGTAATCTAGTAATTACTTCATATGACAATGAAAAAGAAAACTTCAAGTTCCTAATATGTTTTAATAATCTATAATAACTCCATAGCTTTGGTACACAGAAGAGGCATTAAGTCAGTATCGGTGAGTTCACCCACGTTAATTCATTTGTTACAAATAATCAGGATATCACAGGGTAGTATGAGGGTCAGAGGCAATTGTCAGAGGCCTTTGAAGGACTAACAATTACTTAGCAATTTCAAAAATACTCCCAAGTCTGGTGTTCCATTTCATTGGTCAGATGTGTCTGCTGGCTCAAATTTTGATGAAAAAATAATCACCTAAAGAAAAACAAACTTTATTTTCACATAGGCAGATTCAAGCCTCAACTGAAAATGTAGACATTGGCTGAGCTGTTTTTACTCATAGTATTTCTGACACAAAACATGTGGTGGGCTTTTTCCTCACACCAACCAATTCTCCATGCCTCCAGATCCCAACCGGGTGTTGGGATTCAGTCCTATTCCGACAGCAGCTACTTGGCGTGAGCATTAGACCCCACAAGTTTAAGGGTTCCATCCCACAAAGCTGCCTTCAATTCAGACTCCAGTCACAAGTACTGGGTCCTCAGCTTACCCATGCTTTGTTCTAACTTGGCTGCAAATTGGGATTCCCAAGACCCCAACTCCCCAGGTTCACTAATTCGTGAGAATGGCTCGCAGAACTCAGGAGAACAGTTTAATTAATTATTGCCAGTTTATTAGAAAGAATGCATCTCAGGAACATCCACATGGGAGAGCCACACCAACAAGGTACAGAACTTCCATGCCTTCTCTGGGTACAGCACTCTTTCAACACTTTAATGCATTCATCAGCCCGGAAGCTTTCTGAACCCTGTTGTTCAGGGGTTATTATGGGGTGGGGGGTGTTTCATTCTGTAGGCATGATTGATTAAATCCTTTGTCTTTGTTGATTAACTCAATTGCTAGCACCTCCCCCATCCCTAGAGGTCAGGGGGTGGGGGGGCTGGAAGTTCCAACCCTCTAATCACATCTTGGTCTTTGTGGTGGCCAGCTCCCATCCTAAAGCTATTAAGTCCTCCAACCACAAATTATCTCACAAGCATACAAAAGGCACTTGTCACTCCAAGAGTTTTAGAATCTGTGTACCAGTAACCCAGGTGCAAAGACCGTTGTGCCATATTGGCTGTGACCAATCTCTACGTAAAAGTGGAAACCACAAAGAAGTTTATGAATATTATGCTGATGATGGCAACATAAAGTGCTTCAGAAAATATCCATTGTAGGCCTCTCAGTTTCCTTATGGATTATTTGGAATATGTTAGTCATCTGTTATTTTCATTATATTTCAAAACATTTTCATCTTCAGAACAGAAAACATTAATGTGAAACATTTTGCGGGTCATTGGCCAAGTTTGGAGCACTGTAGCACATTTCCTGACACATTGCAGATACTCACTAAACATTTCTTGGAGTGAACCCATGGTTAATGTTTTATCCCTTTACTCAGGTATCCAGTAAACACTAAGAATTAGGATAAATCAGAACATGGCTAAAAATGAGTTAGAATTCCGTTAGAATAGTAATCACTTGAAACTTTTTTGATTTCTCAGTTTCTTAAAGCCATCTGGACATTCTTCTAATTAGAAAAGAAAATCTATTTTTAAGACTGAAAAAATCAAAATTTCTGGTGGGTGTTTTTGATAATTTAGTTTCAAACTATCATGGCATACTTTCTTGGCAAAATAATCCAGTAGTCCCGAAAGTCTGAAACTTAGCCAGTATCTCATTGATTATTATATAACCACTGCTTAGGAAACATGGCCTCTCATTTAAGCTCTTGACCTAACAAGGCAATTTTTATATCCTGGTCAGAAAAATGTACATATTAATTTTGGTTCAAGATATGTAAACAAATTCATAAACAATGTGGGATGTTAAAGGAAAAAAATGGATTTTTAAATTAGATGATTTTTAACAGAAAAGACTATTCAGCTGCCTGGAAGGCATATTTTTCAGCTGCTGTTTAATTTGTGAGTGAAATGAATATGCAAACTGAACATACCACTTAATTGGCCTTTACAAGAAAGATCGATAATGCAGAAACGTTAATTGTTTCAGCTTTACGGCTGAGTCTGAAAAAGAGAAACAAGAGTGGATTGAAGCTGTGCAGCAATCGATAGCAGAAACTCTCTCTGATTATGAGGTAGCTGAGAAGATTTGGTTCAATGAGTCCAACAGGAGCTGTGCCGATTGTAAAGCCCCGGACCCTGACTGGGCATCCATCAATCTCTGTGTTGTCATCTGTAAGAAGTGTGCAGGTAATTAGTGATAAGTTATGCTCAGCACTGTTTGGTAGCACATTGGCACTCATGAATGCTCTTTATTGTCATACTCAATGTGTCCCAGCCAACAGTTGTGAAAAATGAAAACGGAGGAGGCTTTTACATTTCATTTAAATTTAGAAATGTCTTATAGTTCTGAACTTCTCTTATGAATGACTTAGATGTAAAAATTGATTTTTAAGCATATAATCATTTTGTGTGCCTCCTGGTCTATGTGAGCATATTAAAAAGACAGTGTTGAAATTTTTAGATTTTAAGGTGAGTGTGTTTCAGAATGCACCCTAAACATACCTGCATCTTTGCATGATTTGCCCACTTTTCCCCAATCATATTTTGTAAGATGTGTATTTCATATCAAGGTCATTCTGAGCTCTAAACTTGGTACAGCAGATCCCATATCTCCTCTAATGGGAGTGTTTATCTAGAAGCATTTCCAAAGAGTATTGAGGTTTCTGACAGTAACCAGTACTATGACTGGTTATCTTATTGTGACTTTACAGCTTATAGACCATCTGACAGCTCAGTGTATTTGGGGGTTCATAGTTGTTCCAGTGAGTGGAGGGAATGGACTCCAGCTTAGCTGTGTGGTCATAGAGGTCTTGGAAAAACTTAGTCATATCCTAAACTTTACGTCAGCATCCTAGCTTTACCAGGTACTATGCTGGTCCTGGGAATTGAAAAAATGTATAAGAGATTGATATTGCAGTAGAATTACAGTTCATTGCAGTAGAATATGATAATGGCAAGACCGGAGTTGAGCACAGGTTTCATTGAGAGAACATGGAGGAGGAGCACTACCTCAGTTAGAGCAAAGGCCAGGACAGTTTCTTCAATCCTTAATACTTTCCAAGAGTTCTGTGCTTCCACAGTTCTTAACAAAACTAGATTTTCTCAGGAGCTAATTAACATCAATGGCAACAAGAAAAAGCATCAGCTAATCCCCCTCTACTTTGTATTTCGTCCCAAGCTTTTTTCCTCTCCAGTCTCATTGGAAGAGAGTCTTTGTGTTGTCCGAGGCTATTGTTTCTACTCATGTCTTCTGCTTCTTTCTTCTCTTCTTACGATCCTCACCTCATCACTTATTCCTTCTCTGTAATTATTCAACCATGGTTTCTTTTGTTTCAGCATATATACTAATGTATGTCTGTCTGTTGACACTAGCTTCCTGAAAACTTCCCATTTCCCTGTATGTATCATTCTGTCTCTTTTCCCTTCACAGACAGGGTACTTACAAGAGTAGAATTCTGCACAGATTTCCTTCATTTCTTTAACTTCCTTGTTTTTCTTCATCCTATGATCAGTTTTCTCTTCTCTGTAGTCCAGTAAAAATATTTTCACTATGTGTCCCTCTCCGTTTCTGTGTGGTCCGTTCCTATCTTTATTGTCTTCTCTGCAGTATTTGGCACTTCAGTATTTGACCAGTGGGTCTCTCTGTGACTTCCCATCCTCCCTTACCTTCCAAAATACCATTTTCTCTTTGTGTGTTCTTAATACTCTGGTCATCCTTTTTCAGGTTACTTTTCCTTTGCCTGGTCCTGAAATACATGTGTTCCTTTGGGTTACATCCTCAGTTCTCTTTCACTCCAGTGTTCCTGGTTGATGTTATTTATCATTTTAAGTTCAGCACTCACTTATGAATGGACAGTTCTCACCATGTTGGACATTGTACTCGTGGGTCTACCTACTGGACTCTTTTCTTGGATGTGCCCAAGATACTTCAAAAACAGCATGTGAAAAATGAAGCTCTCATTGCTGCCCGGCTCATTACATAAAACTGAACATTCTCATTTATTCTAAATCTTGGTCAGAAGCAATACTGTCTACCCTACATTCAAGGCTAAAACCTGAGAGACCCTCTTGACCCTTCCCCTCCCTTAAAGCCAACCAAGTCTCAGCAGTTTTTATCGCTTCAGGATTTCTGAATCTGCCCTCCCTTTTGTTGCTCCTCCTGCTTATCTCAACTCAGATTCTTTTTTTTTTTTTTGCCTCCGAGACTCCAGGGGTTCTTTCCAGTTCTTCTACCTGTTTTCTGAGTTCAACCCCTTTCAGTGTTGCCTTTAGTTGGTCTTTATAAATGCAAACCTATGCATATTTCTGCCATTGGGATTTTAAGACTTTGTGCTCTAAGTAGTTACCATTTTAAAGAAAGGAGGAAAGGACCCTCTTACCTAATGTAGAGAGAGGAATGAACTTTCAGGCTCATAGGCAAAAAATCATTAAGATAGGGACAGTGTCTTGAATACCTTATTCTCTCCTCAGCCTAGAAAGCCTGAGACACATTCCTGGGTGCCCAGTTATGACTGAATGATGATTATACAGCATAACTGAATTGATTGTAATAGAATGCTGGGCTCTTACTCTCTTTCAGGCATATAAGTAGAATAAAGAATCCACTTCATATTTTTAGATACATGTTTATTAGAGTTGTTGCTAGTTTTTTTTAACAGTAAAAGGATATCTATATTTACATACATGGAATTTAAACAAACCTATTATAAAGGTTTTCAGTAACCTCTAATTGCTAGTTAATTACCAAGTGATGAATGTACATGTGTACATATTGGTATACATACATACCTAGTTTTAAAACTGTAGTTTTATACCACTACAAGGTAGTGATGAAGATGACTACTGTTATCTTCATTGTGGTTGGGATTTCTGTATAATTATCACCACTACTTTTAATGCTATTGGCATTAGGAAATTAAATATTGATGTGTTTTAAGTTGAAAAGGTATATACACGCACACATACATGAATGCATACACGTATTTTTTTAAAAGAAAATACATTTACATACAAATTGAAATAGAAATGCAATTGTGTCTTGACTTCAGGACAACATAGATCTTTAGGACCAAAAGATTCCAAGGTTAGAAGTCTAAAAATGGATGCCAGCATTTGGAGCAATGAACTCATTGAGGTAAGTCCAGCCTAACTTTGGATGTGGTTAGCAGGGATCAGGTGGTAGTTAGCAGTGGAGTGGCATGAATTACTTTAGGAGCTCTTTGATAAAGTTCTCACCACACTGTAAAAATGTCTTATAACCTGTTTGGTAGTAGTAGCTTCCTACTTCAACTTTTAGAATGCTTCTTAGATGAGATAGTTATTTTAAAAATATAAAATACAAGGAATTTAGTAGTAATAGCTACTTTTAAAGGCTTGACAGCATTTTTTTTTTAAAGCCAGAATTTCTTTTTAATCCAGCATGGATAAAATATTAGAAAAGTGAATGAAAACATTTGGCAAAATTTTCTATTCTTTCTCTTAGCCATTCTCTGTCGTTAACTGCGCCATGTCTGACTTTCTGTCTCCTGTTTCCATTTTCTTCTTGGATTTCAGTAACCGTCTCAACCACGTTACCCCACCTATTAGGCCATTTTAAATGAATCTGTCTCTGTGTGACCTTCAAAAAATAATAATGCTTTTGCTGCAATTTGGGTCACTTGCAGTTTCTTTTCTAGCTTATCTTGTACCATTACTAAAAGCAATGAGGCTGTATTTAAAATAGAAATAATATCTGCTTTCACACTCCATCTTCCTGAAAGATGTGGGTTTTTCATGTGTTTGTGCATATTTTATACTAAGTTATTTTTTTGGGTGGGAGAGTATGCACATGGGGGCAGGGAAGGGGCAGATAGAGACAGAGAATCTTAAGTAGGCTCTATGCTCAGTGTGGAGCCCTATGTGGTACTCGGTCTCATGACCCTGAGATCATGACCTGAGCCAAAATCAAGAGTTGGATGCTTAACTGACTGAGCCACCCAGGCACCCCCTAAGTTATATCTTAATTTGTGTGTCATGTTTTTGTAAATTCAAATACATTTTATGAACTCATATTGTTTTATAACTTTCTGACAATTTAGCTCTTTATTGTCATTGGAAACAAAAGAGCAAATGACTTTTGGGCTGGTAATCTTCAAAAAGATGAAGAATTACACATGGATTCACCCGTAGAAAAGAGAAAAACCTTTATCACTCAGAAGTACAAAGAAGGAAGATTCAGAAAGACCCTACTGGCATCTCTCACCAAAGAAGAATTAAACAAGGTATCAAAAAATATATAACAATAGACATGGATCTTGATGTCTTTTGAAACATGGGTCGGGGATTTTGAAAAGAATTTTAAAAAGTCCTTTACCGTTTGATAAAAGTATTGTTTAATGTTACTTTATTTCCATTTGTGAGATTGTAGTATTGATTTTACCACTGTTTTACTTAATTCATTATCGATAGTGAATAAATTCTTTGTCCATAACATGAGTTTCCAGATAACTTGGGCCTCCTCCAATATTCTGAGAACTGTGGCAACTTTCCTATTTTAGGGACAGGACACTAAGCGTAACTTCAGCTTGTACATTGCTGACATTGTGTCACCAAAATAAACATCATTTACTCAGTGTATTGTTACAAGCGATGCTTTGCTTAGTGCTATTGACCCCAAGTGGTGTTTACCTTTGGCTGAGAGATTCCAGACCGTCTGGTCCTTGTTTTTTGCTGCCCACTTGTTCTTTACCCTTTTGGCAAAGGATATGGTAAGCATCCTGCCTGATTTCTTTTTTGAAAGTGCTGCTTCAATTTCTTATGTGTTAGGAAGCTCATCCATGTAGAGATATTTAATACATGTACTTTTATATGCCTGTTGTTTTTGTGCTTAGAGACTATGTTCTTTCATGGTTCCCAGTTTTTTAGTATGCTTTTAGTGGCAGTACTTATGGATAAAAATCCTCAAGTAAGTAGCATTATGCTGAACATTTTGGAAAATAAACAAATAAAGGCCTTTTTCATCCTTCTGTAGAAATTACAAGATCATACAATTGATTTACATTTCTATTGGATTAGTTCCCCTAAACTAAGTTTTTAGTCTTTGTACATCCTTGGTGATGGTAAAGTGAGGCCACTGAATGATTTTAAAGCAATGACACGTAAAATATGAAGGATTCAGAATGGGCAGCTAAGGTAGAGGAGAGAGGGGGTAATGGTATGGGGATGGTGTTTGGGAACTATTTATATAGGTTATTACTAAGATACTTTGTTTTGGGTGGTCTTTTCATTGGTGTTAAGTACATTATTAAAATTGACCAGTTATACCAGACATACATGGAATAATAACAGGGTACATAAGCCAAGGATTTTGATTAATTTTGTGCACCAGAGGTCTATAATAAATACGTATGTAAATAGTAAGTTGTAGATTTGGGGAAATAATTGGTGAAATTAGAGAACCAGGGCATAGCTTCCTCTAATGGTCTCTTTCTTTTTGATACTGATGGGTGTCTTATTAGCAGGTATACTAATGTCCCCAAATAAAGTGCTGTCTGCCACACCACACAGTTTCCATTAGATACAAGTTTTACATTAATTACTAGCAATTGAATTATTCTAAGAGTATTATAAAGAAGTCTACCCATTGAGATTTATTTCTACAGTGGGCTTCTTAAAAATGGTACTCTTAATGTCAGCAAATAATTTTTACAAAAAATACATTTTATTGAATAGACATATTTTTAATTGAGATATGATTTACCTACAACATTGTATAAGTTTATTCGACCTGTTGATTTGGTACATTTATATATTGCAGTGTGATTGCCCCTGTAGCTATATCACATAATTATTGTATTGTATCACATAATTATCATTTCTTTTTTATAGTGAGAACATTTAAGGTCTAGTCTCTGAGCAGTTTTGGGGTAAATAATACAGTATTTTTTTTTTTTTTTTTAAAGATTTTCTTTATTTGAGAGAGAGAGCACAAGAGGGGGAGGGTCAGAGGGAGAAGCAGACTCCCCGCTGAGCAGGGAGCCTGATGCAGGGCTTGATCCCGGGGCTCCAGGATCATGACCTGAGCTGAAAGCAGTCGCTCAACCAACTGAACCACCCAGGCACCCCGTAAATAATACAGTATTATTGATTATAGCTACTGTGCTGTTCATTAGATCTTCAGAACTTACTTATCTTCTAGTTGTAAGTTTGTACCCTTAAACATCTCCCTACCCCCCAGACACCTCGTGGTAACCACATTCTAATCTGTGTTCCTATGAGTTTGGCTTTTTTAGGTTCTACATATAAGTTATATATAGTATTTATCTTTCTCTGGCTAATCTCATTGAACATTATGCCTTCAGGTTCCATCCATGTCCCAAATGGCAGGATTTCCTTATGCCTCATGGCTGAATAGTATTTGTGTGTGTGTGTGTGTGTGTGTGTGTGGATGATTAATAATGTTGAATATCTTTTCGTGTAACTGTTGACCATTTGGATGTCTTGGAAAAATGTCTGTTCAGTTTCTCTGCCCATTTTTTAATTGGATTGTTTTTGAGCTGGTGAGTTCTTTATGTATTTTAGATATTAACTCCTTATCTGATGTATGGTTTGCAAATATTTACTCCCATTCTGTAGGTTTGCCTTTGCATTTTGTTGATTTTTCTTCAGATGTGAAGCAGCTTTTTAGTTTGACAGAGTCCCGCTTATTGATTTTTTTCTTTTGTTGCTTGTGCTTCTGGTGTTGTCTCCAAGAAGTCACTGTCAAGACCAATTTCAAGGAGCTTTTTCTTGTGTTTTCTTCTAGGAATTTTAAGGTGTCAGGTCTTATGTTTAAGTCTTTAATCTCTTTTGAGTACATTTTTGTGAATGGTATAAGGCTCCAATTTCATTTTTTCTGTATGTGATTATCCAGTTTCCCAACACTGTTTGTTGAAGAGACTACCTTTTTTCCATTCTGTGTTCATAGTGGATGGATATTTATTGCACACTTACAAGTTCTGAGTTCTTTTTTAGGTTCTGGGGATACAATTGTAGTAAAACGTAAATGTGCTTCTTTTATTCATGAGAGTTGTAGTCAAGTAAGGGAGACTAACTGTGAATCGCCGGAGTCCAGTAAATGGACCATAACAAATACATTGCACTGTGAAGGAAAACAGTAGTGGGAGATAGAAGAATAAGAGGAAATACATGTGATTAAATGTGGGAGGGCAGTCAAAGGCTATTGCAGTGGACAGGATGTTCGCTGGTATCTTTTCCAACACTCTCATGTTGCAAATGAGGTAAACTAAGACTCAGGCAGGTGAAGGGATTGCCTACAATCACCTAGCAAATCGGTACAAAGTCAGGTATAGGTCGGGCTGTTTGATTCTGATGCAAAGGAAATTCTGTAGGTCAGCTAGACCATGGTAGGAAAGGTAAGTGCGTTTTTTAACAGTTGACCCTCCAGGGCTGGAACTGTGAATGCCTCATGGAACTTCTTGGCTGTCCACTCTGAGCTGCCTATTGGGATATTTAATGAGCAATTATTCTGAAGTTTCATTGTAGTGGGTAAATTAACCAGTGATCTATCTGGGTGCACCATGTCAAGGAGGAGGTGAAAGGGTGAGTCTGGGGCTAAAAAATCAGATAGAATCAGGGTGCTGAAATCACAGGGTTTGGAAGCACATGGGAAGCCAGTAAAGTGAGGAAGCAGAAAGAGGATGAGGAGAGATGTGAAGGCAGCTTATTACTTCGAGGTAACAACAAAAGCAACAACAACACAGTTAGGTTCTGGCAGTTACTAGTGTTTGTATGATGATGTATAACATAAGTCAGTGTTGTTTTATTACCCCCTGCTTGCCATTCCTCCTCCCCACCCATACCCCACACAAAAGGAAAGATACTGGATTTGTTTTGCACTCATGTTTCAAATTCCCAAAGCACAACAATACTTTAAAAAATTATATATATATTAGGCTGAAAAATACGTACATACAACATTTATATGACGAAACATTTAACAGATACTTCATTATTACATTTTACATATTTTGCATTTTCTGAGCACCCATCCATTATCATAGTACTTAAGCATAAAAAATGTCTTCCTAAGCAACTGTGATGGATTGGAAGGTTGGAACATCACAGCAACGGAACAAGGAATTAAAACTTGGAGGTCTTAGGTTGTAATTTAAATTCATACAAAGCAGACCTTTTGAGCCTGGTGCTTAATTCAGGGCATACTTATTATTAGCTTTCTAGGTTAAAAGAGAAATACACACTTCATCTTACAAATGGCTTGGCAGACTTTCACGCATTTTAATAGCTAGAATTGTATTTCCTTCCCTTAAAAGGTGTGTTTTCTTTTAACGACCAGGCTCTGTGCACTGCTGTCGTGAAACCAGATGTTCTAGAAACAATGGCTTTGCTGTTCAGCGGAGCGGATGTTATGTGTGCAACTGGAGACCCTGTGCATAGCACCCCCTACCTGCTGGCCAAGAAGGCTGGACAGAGTCTGCAGATGGAATTTCTCTACCATAACAAATTCTCCGGTCAGTCCCTGTCCCTACATTAGCCTGGTCTCTTCTGATATATCCCCAAAAGGACTGAAGTACAAATCTGCATATTTCTCAAATAAGAAAAACCATCAGAAGGAAGACAAGGGTGATTATTGAAAAGATAGAAGATACTTAAAACCATGTTTTGTTTCGTTTCAAGGAAATTGTTTAGGAAATCTTTTATATTTCTTTAATCTTACAAAGATTAAAACAGTTAATCCTACCTAATCATTTTCACCAAAATTAATTCTGATTTTCATATGTGAATAATAAACAACAAGTGCTTATTTGCAAATTCTGTGCAACGTGAAATAAATACCTGTGTATTTATTTTGTGGTGAATTTGAAGTAACTTCTAGCTAAAAACTCACCTACATGTTCATAAACAAAGGGAAAGTATTCACATTTTAGATTTCAAATGTATTATTTCTGTATTTTTTTCCAGATTTCCCTCAACATGACATTCACTCTGAAGGTGGATTAAGTCAAGAGTCCTCCCAGTCCACGTTCCTTTGTGACTTTTTGTATCAGTCTCCTGCTGCTGCTTCTAAACTCTCTTCAGAGAAAAAACTGCTTGAAGGTATCTTTTCAGCTTCTTTTCGACTTTGTTATCTGATAAAACTTTATTTCATTATCAAAACAATTATGTTTAACTTTTTATTTTTTTCCCTTAAGATGTTAGATTTGATCTTGCAATAGAGAAATATTTTTTGAGGATTTATAAATGCTTCAAGGCACAGATACTATTTCATGCACTGCAGCAGGGATTTACCACGGGGTTGGAATGCTGTGTGAATTCTCAACAGAATCCGCTGATGTCTCTTTACGGCCAGCCAACTCTGTTTCAGGATTTAAGGGTTATTCCAAAGAAATGTGAAACTCAGCCCCTTCCCTTAGGGACAAACACCCTAACTGGGGAGATAATAGAGATAAATGTCAACACATAGGCAGAACTGACAAGTTTTCAGTATATATTCTATCGGCATACTAAGGGATATGAAGTAGTTTGGTTTGTTCTGATTATAAGCCTACGTGCGTGTGAGTAGAATACAGCTTAAGCATGGTTTCAAAAAAATGATGGGAATTAATTCAACAACCTATTCTAGGTTTGGGGAATCATCTGAGCAGTCACGGTAGGTATTTATCCATCTCCGCATCTAGCTCCTTGTGTCAAGTGTGTGCTAAGCATTAGGAATTACAAAAATGAGTAAGACACAGGTCTCATGTTCAATACATATGAACTAATTTGGGAAATACAGGCAGAAAAATATGATGAGATCTGTCTTAATGGAACAAAGAGAATTTTAAGAGAGATTAAGCTGTACAGGCCAATTGGTGGTGGGCGTTTAGAGACTCAGGAGCCTAGTATTAATTCCCTAGGTGGTATAATCCGGCTATACTACTCTATCAAAGGAACAATAGGATGAAAAACTCACTTTAGAGTGTTAATCCTGATCTTTGTGCATTTAAAGTGATTATTTCAGTATAAATGCTTTATATCCAAAGAAATGATATCCCTAAGTAGAATTATATTGGGATCAGCCCTACTTTATTAGATTTTCCAGAAAATAGTAGCTGTCCTTTAGTGAGGAGGTACTATGTGTAAAGCATTGCTTTAGGTACTTTATGTACATTAATTGTAATCCTCATAATGAAAAATGGAGGAGCTCAGCAATGAACAGAATTTTACATCTGATTTGTGTTATATGTTGTTATTGTAACACTTTGGTCTTGGTCAAAGTGTTATGCTGGGTGGCATTTTGAATTTGGATGTTTTTGGTTCTTTCAGCAATTGGTTATTAAATGTGTTCCTGCACTCAAACTAATAAAAATGACAAATTTTATAGAGATCTTCTCAAAATCTATTGCCCTTCAGTATTTAACCCTTAGGTAGTCAGAAGCTGGTCAGAAATGGGGAGGGAGTACCTGAATAATCTGTGAATTGACTATAGTAATTATTAAAATAATTCTAGGCAGTTAATGCACTTGTAAATAAGTTTACAAGTTTTCTAAAATATTTCTTCTGAATAGTAGGAGATCTTAGACCCACCCTTCAAATCACTTATAAAAAGATAAGATAGGGAATTTGAAATATGAGATTTTCTTTCTAAAACTAAAGTGTCTCATAAGCACTTTGCGGTTAAAAATAAGCTTTCATTTATTTTTTGGCAAAAATAAAAAACATTGTGCTTATAATATTTATAGACTTAACAGTTTGTTTTAATATTTCCTTGAAATAGATTGCTTTTCTTAATCACTCGGGGAATAAATTATGTTTTAAACTTGTAACTAAATCATTCTTTCCTTTTATTTTTTATAAATTAACTGTGGATTTTTTTTTTTTGTTGTTAAATTTTATTTCCAAAATTAAAAACTGGTGCATTCTTTGTAATTTCATTGGGGATGTTTTCTCATTTTGGAACATCCTGTTTTAAGTCATATGAAATTAAGCTTTTGCACTTTGGCTGTGTAGCACAACAGAAATGATTTCATTGGAAAATAAGTCTCCTGGTCATGTATTCTTTGATGGTCTTCATTTCTTCCATCCAATTTGTCAGCAACTTCTATCATTTCAAACTCAAAATGGATCTTGAATCAGTTGGCTCCTCTCCATCTTCACTAATAGAATCCTAGCCCAGCCACCATCACGTCCTACCTGGGCTGCAACACCCCCCTTAATTTGTCTCCCAGTAACTAACCTACCTTCCTTCCAAACCATTCTCCAAAAGCAGATTTAATGATCATTAAAAATGTAAATCAGATCTTGTATTTTCATTGTTTGAGTATATTCATCAGTTCCCCATGACAATATACCCCTGTTCCTTAGGGTGACCGAAGACAACCTCCTGTCCCCTCCCTCTTCATCTCACATTATTCCTCCCTCCACTCACAGGTCTGGCCCCACTGTTTTCCTCTCCATTTCTGCAACATGTCATGTTCTTTTCTGCTCTTCTGGACTTGTACAATTGCTGTTCATTTTGCCAGGAGGGCGCTTCCCCAGTTTGGCTTTTTTCTCATTTTTCAGGCATCAGTTTAGTGCTACTGTGGTATGCTGTTACTGGTAGCTCTTTCCTTTCATGGGGTTCTTCTTATTTCCATCATAGCATTTATTGCATGAAGATGATCCCTCCTTTATTGGTTTCTCTCTCTCTCTCTCTCTCTCTCGTGAAAGCTCAGTGAGACATTAGCATTTGCTGGCTTATTCAAGATTATCAAATCTTTGGTGCCTAAAATAGTGTCAACACAACAGTAGTCATGTGTAAATATTTGTTGAATAAGTGACCGTTTCTCTTATCAAGTTATTACTGGTGTAAAAGCAAAACAAATGGACAAATAAACAAAGAAAACCAGAAACAAAATCATAAATAGAACAAACCAGTGGTTGCTAAAGGGGAGGGGGTTGGGGAGGATGGGCAAAGTAGGTGAAGGGGATTAAAAGGTACAGGCTTCCAGTTGTGCAATAATTAAGTCGTGGGGATGCAAGCTACAGCGTAGGGAAGGCAGTGATATTGTAACAATCTTGTATAATGACAGGGAGTGGCCGATGATGACTATACACTGCACAACATATAGAATTATCAAATCACTGTTGTATACCTGAAAGGGATGTTGTACAGCTAGAAGCAATATAACACTGTATGTCAGCTAGACTCCAATTAAAAAGTTATGTAATTGCTGATGCAGAACATTTTGTTCAGAAAGTGTCTGCTTAAAAGTGAAGAAAAAGTAGAACTGCCAAGAAACAAAGTTCTGTTTTTTGTGTTGTTGTTGTTTCTCAAGATGCCGTAGCGTTGTTACTGCTGTTGAACACCAGCGTTACGGAAACAAATGAATTATTTGGAAAGATTTAGAGATGAAAGTGTGAGTGTTGCCTTTGCCCCTGACTGGCCGTCAGCGCTTGTCAGGACAGCCAGAGAGCGAGATGATTAAACAGGAAGAAGAAAGTCAGAATAAAATGCATGCAGTCCTTCAGAGAGTTCCAAGAGGCTTCAAATTGTCAGTTCAGGTTTTCAGGATTCAAAGTTCTTCTAGCCTCAGGTTATGAAGACTGATCTGTATTTTTCTTTTTCTTTTTTTTCTTCTCAATTTAGTGTTCATGAAAAGAAAGATTGATAGCTTGTGTTAAACCTAAGTATAGAGCTGAATAATAGCGTCCTGGTTTTGTTTTCTGTTTTCTCCCCTCGACCATATTTTTTCCCCCTTGGTGTCTTACCGTGATTTGTTGACACGGTGTTTGAGTTTTTAAAAAGAAAGTGGTTGATATGGTTTGCTAGAAACTCTATGTCGTCTGTTTATATTTAATTTCATAAATTAGCATTGAGGAATTTTGAAGATCTTTTGTTCTATCAATGCCTAGCTTGTATAGTCTAAAAATGTTTGAGGCTAAACCACATTTATTTTAAATGAAAAGAATTCCTTGTGTGTATTCCTGTTTTCAGTGAATGCTGAATACCATCAGTTTAGGAAATCCTTCATCAGGAAACAACTTCATGGTTTCAAAAAAGAATAGTTTGCCTTCCCTGTCTTGAAGTTACTGTGCGCATGTGTATTAGAAGCTATGATCTCGGGGCGCCTGGGTGGCTCAGTTGGTTAAGTGTCTGCCTTCGGCTCAGGTCATGATCCCGGAGTCCTGGGATCGAGTCCCTCATTGGGCTCTCTGTTCAGCGGGGAGCCTGCTTCTCCCTCTCCCTCTGCCCTCCCTCACCCCCACTTGTGATCTCTCTCTCTGTCAAATAAATAAAATCTTAAAAAAAAAAACAACTATGACCTCTAATCTCTCTAATATGTTTTAAAAATGGATGGATGCATGCTTCAAATGTGTAACAGGCACAGAGAGGCAGTATCGTTAAGTGGTCAAGAGGCTTGGTTCTCAGACTTGGCCGCCTGGGTTCTAAGTACTTGTGTGATCTTGGAGAAGTCAGGTAACCATTTTGTGCCTGTGGATGGGGTACGAGGGAGGGATGTGTGGTAGAACTGACCTAGTAGGGTTTTTCTGAGGATTCAGTGAGTTGATGTTTATAAGATGTGTAGAAGAGTGCATGGCACGTAAATACAATGATGAGGGGATGAGAAGCAGGAGCAGCAGCAGGGGTCTATCTGTAGTCATAGCTGTTTCTGATTTCCTGTTAGCCTCTGAGTTTAGGCGTATCCTCCAGGTGGCAGCTGACGCCCAGTGTTCCCAGCAGTAGCATCCATGTCATTGCATAGTAGTATTCGAGTAGCTCACCACTGGAGTCCTTTCTTGTGTTTGAGCAAATTCCAGTAATGTTTTTCTTCCCTGATCTAAATATCAAGATTGAATAGAAAGAATGAACAACCTCTCCAGCCACTCCAACCACCATACACACCAGCTCTTGTCAAACAAACAGCTTGTGTCCTGAGAGTTACCCTCTGTGGCCCCAATTTTACTTCTGGTGGACATCTTCTGGTAATTGGTTAACGGTAAGACTTCCTCTGTAGCAGAGTATATGTTTTCAAAGTCAGAGTTGGGAGAGCATATCTGATTTGGGCTAAGCAGACCGATGTAATCCGACATAAGCTCTTCATTGCTTCCCAAATGAATAGGAATGCCAGGGTTTCCTATCACAGCTTTGTTATTATAAATCCTCAAAGGTGATATCTGTGCCTGCCTAGTCTGACCCTTCTGGCCCATTTCCACTTACCAAAAAAAAAAAAAAAGAAAAAGGCAAATCAAGGTTTATAGTGATGATAATGCTTTAGGACTAAATCCCCTCAAGCTCATGTTTCTAACCGAAAATGAGTTCGTACTCACCTTTTTAAAGGATCTGTCATTTGTTTCCCATTAGAATTTACACAATTAGATTCTGCATTTACATTTATTTTATGCATTATGCATTTGGCACTTTTTGTTTAAGACCTTCCAATGACTCCCACTTGTCTGCCGAGAAAGGCACAAACTCCTGAACACCTGTCACATAAGACTCCTGGGGCCTGGCCTCTGCTGTGGGTCTGTGGTCTTCTTTCCTATTTGCTAACTTCATGTGTAATCTGGTTCTCTGGCCAAATCAATTTTTGGCAGTTTCCCCTTTCCTTCACTTTTCTCACAGTTTTTTTTTCCCAGAATTATGGAGTGGTTATAGCTCAAAATGTACTTTTCACTACTTTAATGTCTTTTCAGTTATAAATAACTATTTTGAAAGCTGTGTTTTTCTGTGAAATGGTTTATCATTCTAGTCTGAGGATGGCTTCCTTCCATGAGTGCTTCCAACCCCTAAAGGCACCCCTGCCCCACCATGGTTATTATTCCAGACGCATCTCCTCTTGGATTGGACTGCAAAATGTTTGAGGACAGGGGGTGGGATTCCTAACTGTGCAAGTCATTATCTACGTACTCAGTAAATGCATTTTTTTGCATTATTCTTTATGAGGATTATCCTCTTACATCTGAGTACATTGTTTTGAAGTTGTTTTATAACTCCAGTTGGTTGATACTTTGACTTTTCCTTGTGTTATATCTCAGAAGTCTACAATAAATATTCATTTAAAAATTATGGCCTGTCATGATTTTCATATAACCGTGCAGAGTACACACTGTGACTCAGGATTTGAGGGTCCTGGATGTTCAGTATATCACATTTCAGTAAGCATTGATTGGGTCTCTGTGAGCATTCCTCTGCCATTTCTGATTCAGCTTTTCATTTGGCAGTTACTCGGAATACAGTGATCCTAAGTTCTCAGGATTTTGGCGTTTTAAGTGTTTCTCCTCTTGATGGTTTTTGAGGCTAAACACCTCATCTTGTTTTCTTCTTTTTTTTTTTTTTTAAGAATTTATTTATTTAATTGACAGAGAGAGCGTGAGAGGGAACACAAGCAGGGGGAGTGGGAGAGGGAGAAGCAGGCTTCCCGCTGAGCAGGGAGCATGCGGGGCTCGATCCCAGGACCCCGGGATCATGACCTGAGCCGAAGGCAGTCGCTTAACCACTGAGCCACCCAGGTGCCCCTTGTTTTTTTTCTTCTTTACCACCCTACCTGTGATAAAGGGAAATTTAAAGAGTACGGTAACCTATAGTTTCTTTTAACTTTTTGTTTTTAATTGTGTTATCATAATTTCAGACTTACAGAAAAGTTGTAAGCATGGTATGAAGAATTCTCGTATACCCTTTACCCAGACTTCCCAAATATTAATATCTTACATTCAGTTTATCCTCTTTCTTCCTGTGTATGTGTGCGTATGTACACACAAACAGGTATATGTGTGTATATATTTTTAGAATTACTTTAAGTTGCAGACTTCTACCTTTTTTTACCCTTAAGTAATCCATTGTGTATTTCTTAAAAAGGACCTTCCCTGAAATAACCATGCTATAGTGATCAAGATCAAGTAATTATCTGATGTACAGGTTTTATTCATTACATCTGTATGTATAAACCTTATTTATTAGTCTTAATATCTGTAGATCTAATGTATATTTTAAATGCAACATTATGGGTTGCTTGTATAATTTAATTCTTGGCAATAACTTACAATTTGAGAGTCTGTACAATTTCTGGAGTCCACAAATAGGACGGTAAGATGATAATTCAAAAATAATTATTTTTTATCTCGAGACTGAAAATTTCAAATAGTTTCTTCTTCCTAGCTTTCCTTTTTTTAAAAAAATTGAGTTTAATGTTTTTACCTCACTTATTCAGAGAGTTATTTGGCAAACTATAGACCTTGAATTACATCATTAAAACTTACAGAAAATAACATGTTTCAGAATTTAATTTTCATGTTAGTGTCTTTCACTAGGAAATATATGGGATGATTAGTGGGGGGATTTTTGCTCAATTCACAAAGCTCATTGTTTTAGTTTTTTAAAGTCAGAGTTAAAAGGAACTGATAAAGATTAGTAATGGCAATGCAAAGACATTATATAAAATCACAAGGTGTTCATCCCTTTCATTTGAACTCTTTTGCATTTATATTTTTGTTGTCTAAGGTTCAGTTGGGAAAAAACTAAATGCAAGGAGTGACATGGGTACTTTTGAAATGTATAATAATGTAAAATCCACTAGAAGAGCAAAGTAGATAAATACATGCTTTATGTTTGTATATAATTTCCAGAATTCATTAAGAGCAGAACAAGCCTGAATGGACCTGTTTCCAAAATGATGCTTTCTTCCCAGCCCCCCAGTCTTCCATTAGACTCCACTCTAGCAAATAAGCATTGTGTCTTTTTAGAAAGGACTCAACATTTTATTTTCAAAATTAAAAGGGAACAGCCTTTAGGAAGTAGTTTCTGATTTCCACTATTAAGTCTCAATTCAGTTGTAGCAATCAATAACTTCTCCCCCATATCCATTTCCATTGTCATCTTTAGCTTAAGTTCCATTTATCCCAATATTGTTTCTGTGTGTATGGACCATTGTTGATACTCATGGCTGCATTGATTCAGATGTTCTGTTAACCTGTATATATTACTTCCAAACTGATATTCTCATAGTTGATGCATTAGCAGAATTTGGCTCATTCTATACCTTTAAAGTAATGCTCCATGGTTACGTTGTTGTGGTCAGGCCTTATTTTTACATGTAGTTCTTAGACCCTTTCAGTTATTCTTGTTCATCAGCCCTGGACCATTTCCAGTTCTGGTTCATCAGCCCTCTTCCACCTTTATTTGGATCTGTATTGTGATTTCAGAAACATTCTTGCTACTCTCCAAAATTGCTTGTTTCTTTTTACCCATTAAAAGAAACAGCTTGGCCAATCTCTTCTATTTTCCCTGCTTTTGCTTCCAGACCTTTGAGATTGCTGAGAATTGCCAGTTAGGGAACCAAGCCTTTTGAGTTGACCACAAATTCGTGTGTGTGTGTGTGTGTGTGTGTGTGTGTGTGTGTGTAACCTAATCTGGATGCAACACACTAATTGGTGGTCTTTATAAGCAATTTTTCCTAATTTTAATTTTACCAAAGCAGTACGTGCACATGCACAATACAGTTTTAATGGAAAACATATTTGTTCCTTGTTTTTTTCCCCCATTTTTAGACATTATTCTTTGTCTTTGATAAGTTCTTTTTGTCTGATCTTTTTTCTTGGAAGTAATATTACTTCCTGTATTACTTCTATAATCTTACAGCTCCATCATATTGTATTAACTTTTTTCTCCCTCTTACTTTTGGGAGAGTTTCTTTTCTAAGCTTTCTCTATCTTTTTAATTTTTTAATTTTTAAAATTCATGATTCCATTTTAAATTATCAAAATGTATTTTTTGTGTTCTTAATTTTCCTTTTTAGAACTTGTGTTCTTGTTTTATGCCTACGGTATCTTCCCTTGACAGTCTGATATTACTTATAGTTTAAAAAAATTATTATTTTAGTTTTGGTCTCTTTTATGTTGGAAGCTTTCTTTTAAATGTTTGGGATCAGTTGTCAGAAGATTCCATCTCTTGCTGAGAGTGTTGGGATTTGGGGCTTGGTTATCACTGGCTTCATTTTGTATGTAAATGTGGGCAGTTAACTAGGAGTCTGTAGAATGTCCTGTAACCACTTTGTTTCTAGAATGGCACCATACCTCTGTCTCCACACAGTGCCTACACAGCCACAGATAATCCATAAGTGAATACATGTGGCTGTGTTTTAATAAAACTTATTTATAAAAACAGGTGATGAAATGGATTTGTCCTGCAGTGTAAGACGCCTTACAATTTGAATTTTAAATTCCCTAACCAGGGCATTAGGGGCACTGCAGGTTATGGCCCCTTTCTTCTTTTGCATACCTACCTAACATCAACCACAGTCTTACTTTTTACACTGCATGTTTTTCTCTGAATACTCTGTAGACATCAGTCCTTGCTGTTTCAGAGATGTTTTGCAGCAGTCTCTTATGGATCTGTCTGCGTTTCTGGTCATCAATGTCATAGTTATTTTTTGTACTTTCCTTGTTACTAGATTGTACATTTTTTAAGAGCAGACAGAGTGACAACTCTATATCCCATACAATAACGTGATTGTTATGTAAGCAATAACGTACTCTTTACACAAAATAGGAAATTAATAAATTTGAATCCAGTTATTTAAACCGTTTGTTTTTTAAAAATATGCTGTAATTATGATACATTATTTGTTTTAAATTCCTAGAGACAAGTAAAAAGTGGTGTGTTTTGGAAGGAGGCTTCTTGAGTTACTATGAAAATGATAAGTCTACCACACCTAATGGCACCATTAACATCAATGAAGTTATCTGCCTGGCTGTACACAAAGAAGACTTCTATTTAAATACCGGGTAGGTCTACTGTTAGGTAACAGGTGAAGAATATTTCCTGATATTTATCATACCAGATAATAAGAGTTTTGTTATGTTAATTCTTCATTTGCTTATTGTGGAAGAGTTTAATAGTTTCTTGAAGCCTGATCATTTTGCAGCTTCTGAAAGCTCCTTAGGGAATTTGCTAAAAAGTAGAAAAATTAGAATATTATACCAGGTACTATGAAAGGCTAAGCTATTTGCATCTAATCTTAAATTTAAAGCATTCCATTCTAGAACATGTAGTCCTAAAATTTTTATAATTTACTCATTTAAAATGGTGGACTAATAGCAAAATTTATGCATTCATTTAATGCATTATTCAAAGGAAAATATTCAGTAATGACTTACTTGCATTAAAATAAAAAACTAAAAGTATTTTATACCATATTGAAATGCTAAATTCCCTAAAGATTCACTTTAGCTTTTTAATGGTCTCAAAAAAGTTGCAATTAAATGAGTAAGCATTATTTATTTAATATATTTGACTCAAAGAATGGTTTAATAAATTTTTTGTGAGGACTTTTAAAAACAAACCATCTAAGATACTTGGTATGAAAGTTACATTTTGCAATGTAATTAATGAAAAACTATAAATATTAAAATCTGCATAAATCAGTTTTATAGAAACATCATATTTGAGTATAAATTTTATGAGAATGGACAGAGATTTGCAAAACTTTGCCATTTATGTAAAATTACATGTACCATAGTATCATTAGTATACCATGACTAGTATATCCTAGTTAAAGTGACTTTGTTTTTCAGTAAGTCAACAAAACTGATCATTAGTGATTTTGTTTTTGTTTTAATCTTAATAGTGCTTTTATTCCAAATGAATAATTAATGTGGCTTATTGTGGAATATTAAAATAAATGCATTCTAGTATTTAATTGCTTACTTAGTAAATAAAATATAATTTAAAATAATATTAGTTTATGTCACCTTGTAATCATTCAGAAATAAAACATTCTTGATAGAATGTTCCTGATACAAGTAGACATGCAGGAGAAACCATCTACAGTGAAATAAGGTTAAAAATAACTATTGCAGCCATCCTCTGAGTCTCCCTAAATAGCACTTTATAGAGTTTGGACTCAGTAATATAGGCAGTGAGGAGTTACATAGATTTGTATTTGAGGAAGAAAACTAGCTGAAGTGGTGAGAGAGAGATGGGAGGAAGAGAGACCCCAATACTGAGAGTTTACCTAGAGGAAGAGATCATTAAAAAGAAAAAAAACAACAGTGAGTTGAGAGAATTTTATGATTGAACTAGTAAGAAATACTCTTGACTGGATGAAGAGCTGCTGTTAAGAAGAAGAAATTAGGGGCGCCTGGGTGGGTCAGTCGGTAAGCGTCTGCTTTCGGCTCAGGTCGTGATCCCAGGGTCCTGGGATTGAGCCCCGCATCGGGCTCCCTGCTCAGCGGGAGGCCTGCTTCTCCCTCTCCCTCTGCCCCTGCTTGTGTTCCCTCTCTTGCTGTCTCTCTGTCAAATAAATAAATAAAATCTTAAAAAAAAAAAACCCCCAGGGTTTTGAGTTTGTTGATAAAGTAGATGGTGATGCCTCTAGATTGAAACATGAGGCAAATACAAGCAGTATGGGGTAAAAAAAGAGGAAGACGAAAGATGACTCTGATATAGGGTATTTTGAGATTTTTTTAGGTAACAGTGGCAACGTACTTCACACGTTCCAGGAAATAGTTGGAGCTATGGATGAGGGCCCCAGGGAAGAATTCAGGACCTGGGATGTTACTCTAATTTTATCTGCAGTAAGGAAATAAAATTTTGGGGTAAGATGAGATAATGGGAGGAAGATTTGTGAAGTAAGACAGGAAGAGGGCTGATTACAGAATGGTTTGGATAGTGTTTGCTTTAAACAGAGCGTCAGGATGGCCTGATCTGAGAGGGAAGAGGAGACCAAAGAGAGCCCTTTGCCACATCAGTCAACTAATGAGTGTCCAGGGCATTAACACAGTCATGCAGTCGAGTAATTAAGTCATCAGAAGAATATTCCTTTTGTCTGATCCAGTGTATTCCATTTATTCAAATGAATTAAAATATAAATTGTTGGGAAAATATGATAGATTTCAAAGCATTATCCAATTTTCAAAGGGAATTTAATTAAAAACTTGATTTTTGTGTTACTTGTTTTCCATAAGAGCCAAACAGAAACAGTGGTATCTTTTTATTCATGTATGCTACAGGCCCATCTTTACCTTTGAGATCTATTTACCCTCAGAACGTGCGTTCTTATTTGGAGCTGAAACATCTCAAGCTCAAAGAAAATGGACAGAGGCAATAGCCAAGGTATTTAAATATTGCATATTTACCCTAAGTCCAGAGAATATTCTTAACTTGGGGTCTGTGGTTGAGCTTCAGAGATCCATAAAAATTTTACACAAGATTCTGGGAAAAATGTCCATACTTCATTAAGTTTTCAAAGGTTATAGTCAAAAGAGATTAAGTTTCCTTCCTAGAGCCTTAAAGTGTGAAAAAAAAAAAATGTAGGACCTTGGAGGAATCATTCTTTGAATTCAGCCATGTTATGATGATTAAGATCTTTTCACTATTGTTAAGTCATTTCTATGTGTGTCTCTTCATAGGTAGATATGTTATTCATGGTACATACAAAGGAGAAAGGAACAGATTCAGTGAAAGATACAAATGGAGACAAACATTGAAGGTTGACATTTTGAAAAATGCCACAAATCAGCATAGATGATGTCTTCCCATTTCAATTCTATATGTATCAAAAAAAGTGGTTTAAGATGCTGCCATTTGAAAATGCATTATAGCTGTGCAGTTTTAAGACTGATAGCAAGTTTAAATAATTGTTTTGAAATTTGGGTTACTTCTAAATTTTTAAGGTAGAGAAACTATTTTTGTTTTTCTACCTTCCCTTGAGTCTGTAGGTAGGGAAGGGATTTCCTATTTGCACTGTCTTTATTACTTTTCTGTATTTGTTTTAACAGCATTTTGTTCCCTTTGTTGCTGAAAACTTAACAGAAGCTGACTATGATTTGATTGGTCAACTCTACTACAAAGACTGCCATGCCCTGGACCAGTGGAGAAAAGGCTGGTTTTCTATGGAAAAGTCTAGTTTGCGTTTTTGTCTTCAAATGCAAGAAGTTCAGGAAGATAGAATGCACTTAAGAAGACTGCAGGAGCTAAGTAAGATTTTTTTTTCCTCTTTCATCTTATATTTTAGATGTGATTCTTTATAGCATATGATAATAGTAGCTTTTACATAAAATTATGATGCTTTATTTCCAAACATGACTAAGTAGTATTAATAATTGTGTCTTTATGGGTATTTGGTGTCTTGTTTTAAATGATGGATTCATGCTTTTCTCCTTTTTCTCCAGCAATCAGCACAGTGGTTCAAAATGGGGAAAAAATGGATGTCTTGCTCTTGGTAGAAAAAGGGAGGTAAGTGCATTTTTGCTTTTTACTCTTTATTGCAATAATTCTAGGGAGTAGGGTGTTTTGGCTATCTTCTTTGAGGGAGAAGCCACTATTTTATAGCCTGTTGGAAGTTTTCTAAGGTGTGTGTATATGTATGTCTACACACACATACACACACACACACACTCTCACTCTTCAATAGAAAGAATACACCAATAAAGCTTGCATATTTTTATATTTGTATGGGTGATCAGTGTTACATTTGTCACCAGTGTGATCAATTATTATATTTTTCTGTAGACTTAGATTCCTTTGGGACATTCACATTTAAATATTTGGAAGCACTTTGGCAGTTGTATAAATATGTTTTCAGTGTGGGTATACGATAAATATAAATAATATCCTGAATTATCTGTGAGTCATGTAAAAATAAAACTTGATTTCTTGAATTTACTCACTTTTTCAACAAATATTAAACACTACTTTGTATCAGACACTGTTATAGGTATTGGGCATACAGTTTGTATGTAGAATAAAAATTTTACACAAGATTCTGGGGAAAATGTCCATGTGTTTTTGGACACGGTTTATGCCCTCATGAAACATGTGCGTTAGTGGTAGAAACAATATACGCAGACAAAAAAATAGTTACATAGTATCGTGTCTATCAATTTTAAATGCTTGAAGAAAAAAAAGGTGAAGAGAGAGAGCCTGATGGAGCCATATTCTGTTTTAGATAGGGTGGTAAGAGAGGGTATCTTTGATTAGAGATGTGCCTAAGGTGAAGAAGCAAACCATGGAACCGTCTGAATGGGGTGTTCCAGGTATAAGGTCAAGGATATTTTGAAGGACCCTAACAGTGTGCTGTATTTAGCATGTTCACGGTCTGCAAGCGAGCTGCTGTTGGTTGGGAGATTTGAATGAGTTTGAGGGTGGAAAGAAATTATTTCAAAATGTGTTGTTATTTTGTAACATCTTGACCTTTTAACTGGACTACAGCCATCGATCAGTAGGTGAACTCAGATACACTCTGAGTTCATAGAATAGTTGAAAACTGATATAGAGCCTAACAGGTAATAATATGTAAAGATGTGAATTTTATTCTAAGCCTGATGGGAAGCTGCTCATTTTGAGAGTCAGGAAGTGGAATGATCTGACTTTGGTGTTTAAAGGACTACTCTGATTCCAGATGAATAAGCCTTTGGGGTACAAGAGTGAAAGTGAGTGTTGGTTAGGATGCTGTTACAGAGGCCGGGCAAGGGATGGCAGACATAGGAAAACAGTGTTGAGGGGTTAGAGCCATTGTGAAGGCAGAGGCCAGAAGGTTTGTTGATGGATCAGGTGTGTGTAGGAGTTAAGGGTTACCCCAAGATTTTGGCCTGAGCAAGTACATCAATGATAATGTTCTTTTTTTCCAGATAACAAATACAGGACAGTAGAATTAAGATATTAGTAAGTTTAGGGTAGTAGCTCAAGAATTTGGTATTGAAAATGGTAACCTTGAGATGTCTACTTGACAGCGAAGTGGAGTTGGTGAGTGGACATGTGGATATATATACAAGTCTGGAATTAAGTGGAGAGGTTGCAACTGGAGATAGAGATTTGAGAGTCATCAGCACACTGATGTTAATTTAGCCAAGGAACTGGATGGATTCACCTAGACAAAGAGTATAGACAGAAAACAGACTTGAAGATGAGCCCCTGGGACTCCAATAATTAGAGATCAAGAAGAGGGGGATGATCCAGAAAGAGAGCCTACAAAGGAGCAGCTAAGGGTCATACCACAACATTTAGGTATAGCCTCTTGAACAAACTGTTTTTTTATTTTTTATCATTCCTTAATTATAGTGATATAGTATGTTTAGCTCTACAAGAGTACAAGATAATTTGCAAAAACATCCATTATATAAAAATATAGCTAAATTATCTTTCCCTTTGGTTATTTTCTTTGGTGACATGAATAATGACTTTCAACAGTTGTCTGAACCTGTCTTTTTCTTCAGTTTCATGGGAGGACATCAACAGCTTTAGACAGCAAGCATATTGCGGATTAGATATTTGTCAGAGGGTGTCTTTTAATTTACAGGCATAATTAGTATTCTGTGTTTTTACTTGTTTATTTCTGGGATTACAATGATTCATGATACTTGAGATTCCAATTTTTGGTACCAGGTGATGGTTGCACTGTACTTTCAGAGTACTGTTCATTATATGTTCACAAGTAACAACGAGGCAGCATTATGTTTAGATAGTTTTATATCGTTAAAGTACTAGCAGAATGCAGTTTTTACAGTCATCTATTCATATTTATGGAATGCCTGTTGCCTCCTACCATAATGGCAGGAAAAAAGTTGGTCAGCCGTACAGATTTGGAGTCTGAACTCCCAGAATTTATGTTTTTAAACAAACCAACAGCAACTTGTTAGTTAAATTTATTGCATTTATCATTTATATTATCAGGTTACTATAGCCAAAGTGTGTGTTTTGTTTTGTTTTGTTTTGTTTTTACCATTTTCAGGCTAAGAAGGATTTGATAAGTGATACGTTGGTTTTAATTAAAATGTTGCAAACATGGATTAAAACATAGCAAACAGGGGTTGGAATTATTCTAATCAATTTGATGACTTTTTATTTAATGCTTACTGCATGCAGTGCACTCACTCATGAATGCAAAATAGGGAAGCCAGAAGACAAAATGTGTTGTTATTTTGTAACATCTTGACCTTTTAACTGGACTACAGCCATCGATCAGTAGGTGAACTCAGATACACTCTGAGTTCATAGAATAGTTGAAAACTGATGGAATTGCAAAATAATGGTCAGAGCTGCTTTAATCGTGTTTTTGATAATTTCAAAAATTTTATCTACATGTGTTATTAACAAGTCATGTTGCAAGCATTTTTACTAAAGTGAAGCACAGGGAATGAATGTGTCAGAGACCTACAGGGACAAATATATAACCAGGTTATTTTCCTTAAATCTGTTTGAACAGCTGCCATACAAAATGTACCATTTGAAAACGACTATTTATCACATGCTTACATCCTGCTTTTCCTTGCTTTTGCTGTGTTCTCCAAATCAATGATATTCTGACCATAACAAGAATACAATGATGAGAATGTGTATAGAACTCACTGTATCAGGCACTGTTTCAAGCACTTTAACAGCCTTCCAGTGCCTGTGTGATGTTGAGGAGGATAATCCCGTACCTCTAAGGTAAATTTCACCAGCAACAATGGGTTTATTTGGGAACAGAGAACTGCAATTAGGGACAAGCACGCTGAAATGAAAGCATAGGCAAGTCTGGAGAACAAAAGAAAAAGAGTAGTCTTTGGGAACTTGTGGGGGGCTTTTATAAACAAAAAGTGTTGTGGAGTAAAACTGGCAATTTATAGTGGCTTTTCATTGGCTGAGTTGTGACGGTTTCTCACTGGCTGCGCAGTTGCTGGGAAGGAGAAAACCTTTCTTCCTCCTGCCTGAGTGGTAAAGAAGTATTTGTAGTATGGATTTGCAAGATTCCCTTCCTGTTGGGTCTGCAATTAACTAACTGGTGGTTGTGCTTGGGAGCTCCCCCTTCTGGCCTCTTGACTCCATTCTAAACAAGATTTTCTTTTATTATAAATTTTCACAAATCCATTTTGAAATCAAGGTGAGGTCAGTTTATAACTTAACCTAAAGAGTCTTTCCTTTTTGGAACAAGAATTAAGGGGCACCTGGGTGGCTCAGTCATTTAAGCCCAGGTCCTCGGATCGAGTCCTGCATCCGGCTCTCTGCTCAGTGGGGAGCGTGCTTCTCCCTCTCCCTCTGCTTGCTGCTCCCCCTGCTTGTGCTCTCTCTCTCTCCCTCTTTCTCTCTGTCATAAATAAATAAAATCTTTAAAAAAAAAAAAACAAGAATTAAGTTTAACTTACCGACACCAAGTCATTCTCAAGAATTAAGTCAACAAATGTACCAGGATCCTGGATAAACAATGTAAGTTGTCAGAATTTAAAATTTCGGCATTTTATGAGAAACTTTTATTAGAAAAAATCATTTTGTTAGAAAATATTTTGTTAGAAAAAAATATATATATCTCCATATAATTCTTACCTAATTAAAGAGAGAGCAGAAAGAAGGGAGGTCAGAAGTGTGAATAGTTAAGAACGTGCCTGGGAGATTGTGAGTGCACTAGATTATAAACCCTGACAGAACATGTACCGGCAGTGGCACCTTGTGTGGGGCAAAGTAGGCTCTCATATTTATATATCTATGTATTTATAGACATAGACACACATGTGTATGTATATTTGTGTGTGTATTTATGTATGTATGTGTTATGTGAATAAATCAGCTTCAATAGGGAATAATGGGAGAAGAGCAGGTTTGAGAGGGAGCTTGGGAAATAAGGAGTTTGATTTTAGATGTGTTGAACATGAGTTGCTTATAAACACCTAAGGACAAAGTGCTAGGAGGAAGTTGTATTTATAGATCTGGAGTTCATGTAAAGGTTAATGGGGTGGAGCTACAGATTTTGGAGTTACCCATATATAGAAGGAAGGACAGGGAGTCACTTAGGAAGAGTCTATAGAGTAAGAAGGGAAGAATTAGTGGGTTGGAGCCTTGATGAATACACATCATTTTAGAGGCCGGGTAATTGTCAGGGCGGAGGAGCTGCCTTGAGTTGTTAAACTAGCTTATCCAGAAAGTGAGGCAGGAAACCGAGAGTGGGGTCACAAAACCCGGGGAGAGAGAGTATTACAAGAAGGCAGGAACAGTCAGAACTGTTAGGTGCTGCCTGATGAGGGCAGATACTCCCTGGGATAATTGATGCGGAGTCCATCTGGTGACTTTGAAGGGAGCAGAAGTGATAAAGCAGAAACTGGATTAGATGAAGCCTGGGAATTGAGTAACTTGAAACAGCTGGTGAGTTTTGCAAGGATGTCTGGAGGTTAACAGGATTCTCCAGGTAGAAGGGATTTGTCCCAGGAAGGGTATGTGTGTGCAGTTTGTTTTAGATGGTTTGAACTTGTGCAAGTTTAAATTCT